AAAGAGTAGAAGTGGTTCAGAGAACCCTAAGAATGAATCGGATTCTGGAGAACCTTAATTGCAGTGTCGTAAAGGATTCAATATACTTGGCTTATCAAAAAAAAAAAAAAGATTGAGGAGCCTTGACTGTGGAGTACTTATATGGGGATATCTCTAATTGTAGATGGGGTTTAAATCTAGGAGACAAAAACAAAATTATATTGAATAGCTGGAAACTAAATCTAGACTAATTCAAAATGGAAAAAAGTGCAAATGTTTAACATTTAAGGACAATTTAACCATTAAAAAATATAGGTAAGGTAATGGATTTTCCATCATTGTCAAAATTTTAAAATAAAAATGTAATGTCTTTCTAAAATATATGCTGCCTTTTAATCATAGGCTATTGTTCTTGACTTCAGAAGTTTCAGGAAATAAAGTTCAAGGGCCTGTGTCACACAAGACATTCAATGGCTATAACTGTTCCTTCTGGCTTTAAAAATCTGTGGCACGGAAATTATTTGCTTACTACTGGCCGTGTCTATATGAGGCACTGACTGTGCAGTATCCGTGACTACGGTGAAGTAGTGTGTGGCAGGAAGCATGATGCAATGTTACTGCACAGTAGTCATGAGCTCCTGTGCAGTCCATGTCACAAAAAGCCATTCCTTGGTATGATTGCACAGTAACTCTTGTTACTGCTCAGTCACTTAGTACTTATTAATGTCTCTTAGTACTTAATAATGACTGCTCAGTCAGTGTCTCATGTAGACGCAGCCACTGACCTTGGTCACATTTGAACCAGGAATTTTGTAGATAGTAGGGCTGTGTGAAATGGCTATGTCTCATTTTGATTTTTGGGTTCAGCCATTTCAGAGGACAGTGATTCATTTCAGTGTTTCGGATCACTGCTCCGTTTTGATTCAGCCGAATCTGTTTTGGAGTTTCAACGCTGTTTGAGATTCGGATCGGCTGGGGAGAAGCAGGCACAGCCAGGCAGCTGCAGATCCTCCCACGGCTCCTCTAGCTGTGCCTGCCTCTCCCTGGGTGGGGGAGCCATGGGAGAAGCCCCCATGGCTGCCCTGCCCAGCCCCATCTCTTGCTTGGCCCCAGCACTCACCAGTTCTGGCAGCAGTGATCAGGGCCTTTGTGGGCTCATGGCACAAGCCCCCCTGTGCAAAGCGGGGCAGTGGGGGGTCAGCAAGGATCGCCCCCTCACCTGGCACCAGCACGGCAGCTGCCCCATGGCGCGGGTGTAGCATGGCTCAGCAGGGTGGTACACGCTGTCTGGAAGCTGGGGCGGCTCCACGTGTCAGCCCGGCACTGCTCAGCCCCAGCGTTCCACCTGTGCCATGGGACAGGTGCCATGCGGCTGCCAAGCAGGGGGGGGTTGTGATCTTCACTGCCCTGCACTGCATGGTGGGGGGCTCTGCCACGAGTCTGCAGAGGCCCTGATTGCTGTTGCCAGAACAGGTGAGTGCAGGGCTTTTTTTTTTTTAAGTGCCAGGATGCTGGGGCTGGCTGGGGTGGGGTGGGGAGATCGGGAAGTGGGGACTGTGTGAGGGGCTCGGCCACGTGACCCCAGAGGCCCTACACCCCCTGTTACAGCCTGCAGTATACACTCACACTGCTACAGCTGGTGAGTGCGGGGCTTTTTTAAGTGCTGGAAGGTTGGGCCGGGCAGGGGATGGGGCCGGGCAGGGCAGCCATGGGGGCTTCTCCTGTGGCTACAATATCTTTGCTCGGCATGGACTGTGCTGGCTGGCCCTGGCCCCAGCCAGCAGTGGCAGCATGCTGTCATCCTGCACACAGATCTGGGGGCCTGCACCCCCTGGGAGGGCTGCGGGACTGTGCCAGACTCCTCTCAGGGGGTGTGGGCCCCCCGGATCTGTGCACGGGATGACAGCAGGCTGCCGTCCCTCCCCCAGAGCACTGGTATTGAAAGGGACCTCAGGGGCAGATCTCAGACACTGGCCAGCTACAGATGTCTACATCAGAACAGTCCTTCTCCCCTCTGCCCCCTCCCTCTTCTTAGTTTCTGTTCCCCTGCAAGCCCAGCTCCAAAACATCCTAAACATTTCTAAAATGTTTTGGATGGTTTTGCTTAATTTTGGAGATGTTTTGAAGCCTTCCGTTTCGTTTCGGATTTTGGTGTTACAGGCGCCAAAACAGGCTGAAACACCTCCGAAATGAAACGGCTCCTGAAATTTCGCACAGCCCTAGTAGATAGTTTTGATAGCTTTTCATATAACATGGTGTTCCATATAGATTCTTCCTATATAATATCTAGTATTGTAGCCTTTTGCTGGCTTATTATTTTAAAGTGCTTTTGCCATCATTTGAATGTTCTTTGTAGATGGCTTGTTGCAAGGTTCCCTTGAACCCACTTCTCACCCAGCATACTTTGCATTGACATCCACAAAGGGACAAAGTTACTGGAAAGGTGCCTAGAGGAAGCAAGAAATTTAGGATAGACTCATCTGGATCATTGCTTGGAATTACTTTTCATTATAGGTTGCAAAGGATCCTGGCTAAATTGGTGTGAAATCAAACTTGCTGAAGCATACAGTTCAGTGTGATGGATTGCTGGCTCTTGGTTTGGCTGAACAGTTTAGTCGGAAGTATAGTTATTTTTGTTTGGTTTTTAATGAGGGCAGGATAGCAGAAAAGGCACAACTTGAATCTCCCATATGCGTGGGCTGCAGTTCCCTATTCTTTCTTGCCAGGAGGGTATTTAATGTGGAAACTTGAAAAGAGAACTTGTGGATTTGATTTACTAATGGAAGCTTTATTATCTGGGAGAACTGGAACAAAGTCTTAGCTGTCTGCTATGGGCTGTTCAACGAGTCCCACAGATAGAAGAAAAGACTGCTGAATACAAGTGCATGTTGGTATAACCCAGGGGTC